AAAACGTTTTACTTCCAAGCTTACAGAAGTAATTATAAAGCCAAAAAGTCGAAAATAAATATTATTAAACCTCGATTTCCTTATCCAGTGTCATATCCCTTCAACCACAACGCTCTGATTTTAAGCTAGCGCTCGCTTTGAAACTCGCAATTATTGCATTTTTGCAAAAAATACACATAAAAAGTAGAAACATAGCAAAAGGTATTTGAAAGAGAGGAGAAGGCCTTCCAAGTGAGCTAATCCGCTAAGTATCCTAGCTCCTTAAGCCTTAGAATTAATCAACTCAATCGGCTTAAAACAAAAGTTCAAAACTTTAAGCTAAAACCTGCAATCCTTTCAGAGCAGGGGTATCGGTAGAATTGCTTCCCCATCCAATGCGTTCATATGGTCGAAGAATAAGTGATCGTTGGAGATCCTGCAACAAATATAGGCGAATTCCGTTAGATTTTCAGTCGTCAATCAGCGGTTGGAAATCAGAGATTTACTTCTTACAGAGAGAGATTGCAGAAAAAAATTGTAACCTAGGGAAAAAACGAAACTTCAACGAAAAGAAGAGATGTGAGAATCAGTAATAAAGGAGCTACAGTAATTTGGACTGCAAAAGAATAAACAAACGGGAAGGCAGAAAAAAATGTAATATCGAAACGAAAATACTCCAAAAATAGTTTCAAAGAACACGAATAAAAATCTGCACAAGTTTGTGGACCATTTTCATTGATCGCATTACGCTACTGATAATTCTCGTGTTTCTGTAAGAGCATGATTTGGCCATCAAATAATTCATAATGATAACCAGGTACTTCACACTCAACCTCGACTTCTGTACAACACAGAAGTAAACGTATTTTTAAATCCTCATACAGACTGTATGGAATTTCTTTCTTTGACTTTTTTCCTTTGCTAAAACACTAAATTTAGAAACCTTACCTTGAAAGTGTGTGCGAACGGAGTCTCTTCTATAAGGTCTTCTATATATCCTACATGTTTGTGGATTAACTGCCATGTCATTCTATTCATTTCCTCTAAAACTGTATTTATTAAAACTGGTAAACGTGGGGGATGTAGCTTGATTTACCTTCAGCATAAACTAACAGATCCAGATATGTTGCTATGCTGAGTTTCGAGGTCTTCGCAAGATCGAAAGCATCAGCCAAGATCATAGTACGATCAATCGCGGATATTACCTTAAGATAGCCCTTTAAGTGACGTTAAACAGAAATTGTAAGACACCTGCATACTGAA